CGTCAGAGCAGAGTCATCTATGTAGAGGACCAATTCACTGCACTGCCCTGAACGTAGGGCACTTTCTAAGTGCAGATCATGCCCTCATTCTCTGGGCGGACAACCCCGAAAGGAGGGAGAGCAGCGTTCATCTTTAAGTTTGACTCGTTTCCAGGGTGTGTAGCGTTGCAAATTTTGGCAGACGTGATTGTGAACGCCCCATCTAAGCATTGCACTTGTCAGCTCAAAATTGTCAAACCTGGTGGGTGGCCCTTTAAAAAACTGAAGGCACATTCCACGAAAGCCATAGCTTTCTAGTTTATTTGAATAATATTCCGTGGTTGATTGTATCAAGGGCTTTCCTTATATAAAGAAATATACCTGTAACTGTTGTACTGTTATTGATAAATTAAAAATTTATAATTTCGGAAAGTGAGGAAACAGCTGTGTCAGTTGATCTATCCTTTCTAAACTCAGGTTGACAGGATGTAAGAATACTTTCGTGTTCTAAGAAAAACATGATTCAGTTAATTAATAGTTTTTCAAACACAATACTCATGGTACTTAATATAGAAATGGGGTAGTAGTTCAAGGATGGTTATGTCATCGGCCTTGTAAATCAGTATAACATTTGACAACTTGTGAAGGTCAGGCTACGTAGACGTAAAAAAATTAAAGATTTTTCTAAAGGACACGAAGAATATCAATGCATTCTTGCAGCACTTAAGAACGTATATTGTTTGACTAATAATTTGACTAACAATTTAACTAGCATGCCATTAACTAGATTATAGGATACTACACTAACTACATTATGGGATATGCCAGAACAGCATCAGACCCTTACATGGGAATAAATTCACACTAATTAGATTGAGTTCAAAGGCCAGCGATAAATACCATCGTAGTCACTTCCTGACTGAAACGGGCCAAAATTATTTTTTATTCTGACTTATTTCAATACTGTTAGCCTCTTCGGGCTGTTACAGGGTGGGACAGTTTATAGTACAGACAAAGTAAATGCAAACAGCATAGCATAAATGGCACAATGCAAACTAAAAAAAAAACAAAAAACACACAGGTATACACGGTGCGTAAAGAATTTATATAAAACAACAGCACTGCAGTTATGCATAATAAGGATTTCGATATTATACACCCAGTGACTGCAGTTTTTCAGGAAAACTCTTGAGCGAAATCACATCATCAAACATTTCCAGGCTTACATTATTCCAGTCTTCAATTGTTTTCACTAAGAAAGGAAGCTTGCTGACATCAACTCTGGATTGGATGCAGAAGTTCTCACAACATAAGAGTGGGAGGATCGAGGTGATACTCTGCCTGGAGGCCGCGAGTAGAGTCCAGGATTCATGTTTAGCATATGATCATACAGTTGATAAAAAATTTCATAGTCTGGCTATTTTTCTGCATGAAGCTTAACTTTGAAGGTTTGCCTTGTTAATCAATGCAGTGACGAATTCAATCCTTCTGTGCTTGGAAAAATAAGCGTGCTGCAAGATGCTGCACTCGCTCGATCTGATTTATTAAAGTTAATGGGTACAACTCCCACAGTATACCCAGAGTGGGTTGAACAACTGTAGTGTAAGCCTTAAGCTTTACATCAGGGGATGCCTGTTTTAGTTTGGGTCATAGCATTCCCAGCTTCCACTAAGCTGATCCACAAATGTTGGCAACATGCTCACACCAACTTATGTTATGCATGATAGTGACACCTAAGTACTTAATTGGTTGCCGAATTTTTGTACTCCTGATTTTGTAAGTAAATTGTGATCGTGATTGTTTTGTTGTGACACTCATGTAGACTGATGAACAAATGTTCTTCCTTTAGAAGTAAGGACAGCAGTGGAAAGATTAAAGTTCCTTATTGTTCATAACGAGCTTTTTTATATTAACACTGAATATATCTTTCAGACACAGACAGAGTATGTATATATAACCTCTATTGACGTGGAATGACTCGTTTAAGTATAGATATTTGCCATGAGTAATTAGTGAATGAGCATACTGCTCGGTTCACTGGTTTTAAACAAGCTTCATGCTTCTGCGTATTTAGGTAACGCAGCGTTTTCAGCCACTGACTCATAACGCCATGCTGTAGATGCGACGAGTGCATTTGTGCTATTTTTCATTTCTTTTTTTTTACTCTTCTTTGCATATGTATGAAACAAGCATTGCCCTTAAAATCGTCTTCACATTTATGTTGCTCCTGTTTCTTATTGAAGCATACTTGATTCCTTAGCCATTCCTGTAAAGACCTTCCCAGGTTTAACAATATTAATAAAGAAAACAGCAATCATGCATACTTGTCTACCAAGCACAAGTTATGTGTTTGACGGCTGACTGATCCGACCACCCCTTTTATTTTTCCATGGTTACATACTTAGAATATAGGAGCCATTGTTAGACTTGCGCCATTCTCACCTGTATTTTTTTTAACCCACTGTGTTATGTGCAAACATGCAAGGGCTGAAATGAAATGTTCATGTAATTTTGTTTTCAGCTTCCAACTAAACCATGTTCGAAAGTGATCTAAGCTGTTCCACCTGTGCTCAGCATGTTTGGAGCATTCGCTTGTGATTGGGTAAATTATATGGGCTCAGCAGTGTACAGGACATAAGTGTAATGAAGTTATGAAAGCTCTGTAGGTTTGACACATTAGGTTTGTTGCTCTAAAATTGGAATGAGCACTTTGGCAGCTACAGTTAAACCTAGATATAACAAAATTGATAAATTCCCGAAAAAATTTGTTACAAAGAGGTTTTCGTTATATGCAGGTTTGGTACAAAATTCGGAAAATAAATGCATAAATTAAACAAAAGGGGGACTGATGGCAGAGCTAGCCCCTAACACTCATTTTACAGTAAAGAACTGTGTTATTATTGCGATAGCAATTATATCGACTCTCTCGGCCTGTTTTTGTTGTTGCCGCCATGTTCTGCAACAAGTCCAAACTGACAGCATGCCCCCGCGCATTGTAACTTTCACAAGCGTGTAAAAAGCGTGCGAGCCCTGCTGAAGCGGAGATCACTTGAGTCAGCCCATCCCTATCGCCTGGAAAGTGAATAACATCTCCCACATGTTAGAACTGCCATAGAATGCTCAAACAGAAACTAAACCTCCTGTCTTAAACGAGCATTAAACAATGTGGGGAGGGGGGGGGAGAACGCTCAAGTAGCAATAATGAACTTGGATTTTAAGGGCGGTCGCTGGCGCGCTTGCTATCTCGGCTAGTATCAATGCGGTTTCAACGCGAAGGGACTGTGTGAAAAGAGCAAACGCAATCATTCTGGTCAAAGTCTAAGGCGCGCGATTCTCCCCACCGAAGGATAAGCACGCGCTCACAAGCATTTAACCCCATTCTCCCCCTCCGCATTCGCGGGGCAAAGTACGCGTGGGAGATAAGTGTTCGTCGGCACATCGTGATGAGCTGAGCACCGAGTGTGGGCGGCTTTTTTTTTTCTTGAGTTTCCATATATATAGGTATGTATACATATACGATGTATGAAGGCGGCGGCAGCAAAAACCCAGCCAAGACTGCCCATATACGTAGTGAATAAAAAAAAGCAAAGCTGAACGTCGTCGACACACACACACACACACACACACACACACACACACACACACACACACACACACACACACACACACACACACACACGCGCGCACACACACGCACGCACGCACACGCGCGTACACACACGCACACACACACACGCGCACATACACACGCGCACACACACACACACACACACACCATGCACGCGCAGTGAAACTATGCATGCGCGCATGGCGTCGAAAATGAAGAGGGAACGACATGGACACTGACACGGTTACCGCGAAAACTATTTGGTAAAGCGCCCTCCATATGTAGCGAGGTCCCACATAAGTGATGCTAACTAAAAGTGTGCAAAATCAGTTTTTTCAATCAATTTAGGTAACGTGCAAAATCAGTTTTTTTATTATTTTGGTTTGGAGGGGGGGAGGCACACCTGCGCATGCAACCGCAGCGACGAGAAAGGAGGGAAACGCTGGCTCGTAAGGTGCAGACTCGCCTCACGTGGCCCCGCCGCGGTGGTCTAGTGGCTAAGGTACTCGGCTGCTGACCCGCAGGGCGCGGGTTCAAATCCCGGCTGCAGCGGCTACATTTTCGATGGAGGTGGAAATGTTGTAGGCCCGTGTGCTCAGATTAGGGTGCACGTTAAAGAACCCCAGGTGGTCGAAATTTCCGGAGCCCTCCACTACGGCGTCTCTCATAATCATATGGTGGTTTTGGGACGTTGAACCCCACATATCCATCAAATCGCCTCACGTGGAGTGGACGCAGCCCGCGTGGGGCAGCGGCGGAAAATGCATGCTTGTACCAAAATGCCGAAATGCGGAGGGAAATTCCAAGATTGTCCGTGGGGAAAATTCGTTATATCAAGGTTGTCTCCCGCGGTTACTTTCTTACATAGACGCAGAAAATACATGTGCTCCTATGGAGCGACGGCGGAGAATAAAAAAACTTCATTATATCCAGCAATTCGTTATCTGGAGGTTCATTATAAGCAGGTTTAACTGTATATGTCTTAACACACTCAATAGTTTCTTGGCAACCTTTGGTTTGTGCTCGTTGGGGGCAGCATACTTTTCAGTTGAATGTCAGAGGTACTTGTCTCTGTTATGTAATTTTATGCTTGACGTGGTTTGATTCAAAGGAATGCTCACTACCATGCCAGGAACAGAGACTTTACAGTAAAGAGTGTGATGTTCACACCAAATCTACCCAATCATACTTGTTTGCAGTAATTTCAGCGTGGCCTTTGCGAATACTCATTTAATTTTTTGGATAGCCTGGCAGAGCATGAGATTCCAAAAGCAACACATTTGTACAAACTGTAGCAAAGTGCCCAAGGTCGCATTTTTTGAGAAGTGTGCCTGCTACACAAACAGAATAACCAGGTTGTCATGTGTCTGCCATTATAGGCCATAGTATGACTGTCACATTGTGCTTTGTGCAGTTCCCCATGAAGCGCTACCTGGACTTCACCCAGGGCCACTTCTTTCATGGGAAGGCTGTCAAGCCCCCCTGGTGAGCACTGTTCTGTGCAGGTTTGTCAGGTGCATGTAGATCTGTAGATAAACAAATTTATTCATGATGACTTATGTAAAATGCTTATCAAGAAATAATTAATGTTGAGAGAAATCAGCACACTATAGGCTTGAGGTTCTTTCTTTAGTACTTGTTTTTCAAGTTCACAGTGATGCTACCGCTGCGCCAATTGTGCAAAACTGCTCCGAGTTGCCCTGGCTGCTACACGCTGCTACAATTCCTCAAAATTTGGTGAGTCTGCACCCAACGTGTGCCAAGGGGCGTGCTCCGACTTTCAGAAACGAAACTGCTTGAGATTCTCCTGTTGAAAATGACATCGCGGTGCACCTGCCTAAGACGCAACCCGATCCGAACGAAACTGGGCTGATTGCCACTGTTCGAACCATGAATGGCTTGGATGCACTGAATGCTCGATTTTTCGAACTTTCCAGGGATTGGGAAATCCTCTGAAAAAAAGATTCACTACTTATTATTTCACTTAAGTAATCAAATTGCCACAGCCCCTTCTGAAATAGCTCCAATGCCTCTTAGAGTACACTCATGAGGCATTTGAGTGCACACCCAGGCTGTCGTAAATACACTCAGGGCTTGCCGATGTCCATTTGCAAATATGCGTCGCGGTATGAGTGCCGCCGATACCAGCAAAGTGAGGAATAAATTGCGGATTCATCGTATGAAACGAGTGGAAACAAGGACGAAGAACGTAAAGGGTGTGGCAGGATAGAGAAGTACCTCCACAATGCATGTGTGCACTTAGAAGAAGCGCCACTGTACGAAAATCTTCGGCATTACACAGCACTTGCTGCTACACGAGACCAATCGTTTGTAATTTTGTGCAGCACATCACCTACACAGCTAACGCCGTTCCTACCGGGGTGCTTTCATATGCATAAATTTATCATAAAAATGTGTTCTTGATGCCCCCTTCATTCCTGATCGCACACGGGCGTGGCAATGGCGAGCTGCTTCCGTAAGGCACCACGCCTGTGTGTCACACTTAGCTAACTTGCACAGAAATGCAGCGTGGACGGCGGCGCAGGTGAGTGATTAAAAGCGTGCAATACGCCGACATTGCGCCACATGCAGTAACAAGCAGTTAGCTGAAGACAGTTATCATACAGCGATGAAGTCTTACTGGCGTGTTTGTCGCACTGCTGCTATGATGTCTTCGAGCATTTCTAGTGCTTATTCGTTAGAGATCATCTCACTGTGCGGTGATACTGGCCCCTTCATATTTTGTTGCGATAGCAATTATATGGACACTCTCGGCTGAATTTCGCCGCCGGCGTGGGTGTCGATGTCATGCACCGTATATGTATAAGTTTCTATATGTATGAAAACGCAAGAAAAAAAAAAATCAGGAAAAATAGACTCCTGGACTCCGGCACGCGAAATGGAAAGTGGGACCTCCGCGTCGCGAATGTGAGGCGTTAACCACAAAGCCACTGAGGGGAACCTCCTTGAATGTTCAAACGGCAAGCTATTGGCGGGCATTTCGGGGGGGAACTACCGTGTTTTCAGCATTATCAGCAAGATGGGGCAATGAGCGCTCTGCGGCTCTTACCTCTCACGGGTATTTTGGCCCGCGAAGAGGATGGGAGTGGACAATCTCTGGCGGGCCCTTATCTTCCTTATCATGCATCTTGGCTGGCAGTGGGCTTGACTGGAATGATTCTGTTATAGTTACGGTGCGCGCAAAGGTCAGTGCAATCGTTCCACAGCCTCCGTTTGCAAAAAAGGCGTGCTTTTCAGGCACCGCGAACTAACAGCTAAGACCTTTATTCATGTTCATCTGTACCTGTGAGTATGTTTCATGCGTCACTTGTGTGTGAGAAACGCGGGGAACATTTGGATTTGCTTTCATTTTGCGCGTGACCTTCCAATTTGTTGCTATTGCGTTCATTGCTTCGCCTTTGCGACAAAGCTGTGACTTTTTTACATTTGCTTCTCCCCATAGCACTTGTGCATTGCAGCTAAGCTGACTTTCCGACATTACCGTGACATCGAACGATTTTTTAAAGTATTCGTTGAAGCCTACGAGATCATTGATGTAACAAGGGTAGAGACCTTTAAGTAATGCTGTTTCATACCTGTATTGTCGGTTGAAAGCAAAAAAAAAAAAAAATTGCACGCTGAAGTATTTCAGCATCGAAAATTTTGTATGTTCTTATCCATAAACGTTGGTAGAGCTTGGGATGCTATCGTGAAATTGTCTTAATTTGCAAGCACGTCTGAAAATCTGGCCTCTGAAAAAGTGTCAGTCAACGGATCTTCAGTCACGTTATAATGAAGTTCTATGCTATGAAATTTTATCATTGGCTTTGTCTATTAAATATTGTCACGGGGTCGTGACGTGGCCAAAGACAGGAAACTTCGTGTTGGGATTTAACTGTTTATTTGGGCGAACCTGTGCCCGGTAAAGGGAAAGTCTAATTACAGCAGCAGTCTTGCACAGATAGCAGTCTCGGACTGATAGCGGCGAACGCAGCGTCCGCCTTCGATCAACAACCGACAAGCGGCGAAGCGCGTCGGCATTTATACCCTTGCCGTCGAATGTTCTAGCGTTATCGCTGGCGGTGGCGTAGGTTCCAGAACAATCTGTACCGTTCGCACAGTGGGCGTGATCTTATCGAAATGATCTACTACAGTCCGGAACCTTCTCGAAACCTGCAGGCGCGGTTTGCGCCGAGAATCGTGTGGTGTTTCAGAACGATAACAAAAACTTGTGAAATGGAACGTGGCATTGCCCCCCTCTGAAAAAAAGGCATCGTCCCGATGCTTTAACTAAAGATGAAGGTACAATAATAATGCAAGAAAGTACAATGAATAAATTACAATACAACAATAATACAAAAAAACACTGTTTCAGTTTGTTAACGTGCATAAAACGGCTTGAGGCGCGCGACATGGACGACTTCAGGTCGCGATCGGCATCGTTGAGAGTTCGTGATGCCGTCGGGGACAACCTTGTAATCAAGTGGGCCGAGACGTCGAACCACCTTGTACGGTCCGAAGTACCGTCGCAGAAGCTTTTCACTTAGTCCACGTCGGCGTATCGGCGTCCACACCCAAACACATTCACCGGGCTGGTATTCCACGAAGCGTCGTCGAAGGTTGTAACGGTGGCTGTCGGTCGTCTGTTGATTCTTGATACGAAGACGAGCAAGTTGTCGGGCTTCTTCGGCGCGTTGAAGGTAGTCGCTCACATCGAGGTTTTCTTCGTCGGTGACGTTGGGTAACATGGCATCGAGCGTCGTTGCCGGGCTCCTTCCGTAGACCAATTTGTATGGAGATATCTGCGTCGTCTCCTGCACCGCCGTGTTGTATGCGAAGGTCACATACGGAAGAATGGTGTCCCACGTCTTGTGTTCGACATCGACGTACATTGACAGCATGTCGGCGATCGTCTTGTTAAGCCGCTCGGTGAGGCCGTTGGTCTGTGGTGGTACGCTGTCGTCCGGCGGTGGTTTGTTTGGCTGTATGCCAAGATCGCTTGAGTTAAGTCAGCAGTGAATGCCGTTCCTCTGTCGGTAATAAGGACCTCCGGGGCGCCGTGACGTAGGACGATATTTTCGACGAAGAACTTAGCTACCTCGGATGCACTGCCTTTTGGCAGGGCTTTTGTCTCGGCGTAGCGGGTGAGGTAGTCGGTAGCTACCACGATCCAATTGTTTCCGAAAGCCGACGTCGGGAACGGCCCCAGTAGGTCCATACCAATCTGCTGGAAAGGTCGGCAAGGTGGATCAATTGGCTGCAGAAGTCCCGCTGGCCTTGTCGGCGGTGTCTTGCGTCGCTGACAGTCCCGGCATGTCCTCACATAACGAGTGACGTCGGTGGTAAGACGTGGCCAGTAGTACCTTTCTTGTATCCTCGCGAGCGTGCGGGAAACACCGAGGTGCCCTGCCGTCGGATCGTTGTGCAGGGCCTGCAGGAGTTCTGGTCGCAGAGCTGAAAGCACCACAAGGAGGTACTTAGCTCGAAGCGGCGAAAAGTTTTTCTTTTGTAGAAGACCGTTTCGTAGAAAGAACGACGCAAGTGCGCGCTTGAATACCTTCGGGACTTCGGCGGTCCTGCCTTCGAGGTATTCTATTAGAGCTTTAAGTTCCGGGTCGGCCCGCTGTCGTTCAGCGAAGTCGTCTGTAGTTATCCTTCCCAAGAAGTAGTCGTCATCCGGGTCATCGGGTGGTAGTTGGCCAACAGGCGCACGAGAGAGACAGTCGGCGTCGGAGTGTTTCTTCCCGGACTTGTGAATGACAGTATTGTCATATTCTTTAAGTCTCAGGCTCCATCCTGCGAGGCGACCTGAAGGGTCCTTCAAGGTTGCTAGCCAACACAAGGCGTTGTGGTCGCTCACAACTTTGAAGGGCCTGACGTAGAGGTAGGGGCGAAATTTCGACGTAGCCCAGATGATGGCGAGGCACTTCTTTCTGTTGTGGAATAATTGGCTTCTGCTTTGGATAGCGATCGGCTAGCGTAACTATTAACCCTTTCAAGTACGTCAGCCCTCTGCACAAGAACGGCGCCAAGACCTACGCTGCTTGCGTCAGTATGTATTTCTGTCTCGGCGAATTCGTCGAAATGGGCAAGTAACGGAGACGTCTGGAGGCGATGTTTAAGCTCCTGGAAAGCGTGTTCCTGTGGCGTTTCCCACTTGAACTCCGAGTCGGCCTTGGTAAGGTTAGTGAGAGGATCGGCGATGCGGGCGAAGTTTTTCACGAACCGCCTATAATAGGCGCACAGGCCCAGAAATCTGCGCACGGCCTTCTTGTCAGTGGGCGTCGGGAAGTCGGCGATGGCGGCTGTTTTCCGTGGATCGGGACGAACTCCAGACTGGCTGATAATGTGCCCCAGAAACAAGAGCTCCTGATACGCAAGTCTGCACTTTTCTGGCTTCAGTGTGAGTCCGGACGTCTTGATGGCTTGAAATACAGCTTCAAGGCGCCGAAGATGCTCGTCGAAACTCGAAGAAAACACGACGA